AAAAAAAAAAAAAAAAAAAAAAAAATTTAAATTAAAAAAATTTTAAATTAAAATTTTCAAACATTAACTGGGTGTGTTGGCATGTGCTTGTTGTCCCACCTACTCTGGAGGTAGAGGCTACAATGAGCCATGATCGCATCACTGCACTTGCCACCTGGGCAACAGAGTAAGACCCTGTTTCACAAAAAAATAAACAGATTGGCTGGGCGTGGTGGCTCACGCCTGTAATCTCAGCACTTTGGGAGGCTGAGGCAGGCAAATCACCTGAGGTCAGGAGTTTGAGACCTACTTGACCAACATGGTGAAACCCCCCATCTTATACAAAAATGTAAAAATTAGCCAGGCGTTGTGGCAGCTGCCTATAATCCCAGCTACTCAGGAGACTGAGACAGGAGAATTGCTTGAACCTGGGAGGTGGAGGTTGCAGTGAGCAGAGATTATGCTATTGTACTCTAGCCTGGGAGACAGAGCAAGACTGTCTCAAAAAATAATAATAATAAATAAATAAACAGATTATTAAAGTACTTGTCTCATTCATCTTTTATTGAAAACTTTTTTTTTTTAAAGACAGGGTTTCACTCTGTCACTTGGGCTAGAGTGCATTTGCATGATCTCAGCTCACTGCCTCTGCCACTTCTTGGGCTCAAGTGATCTTCCTACCTCAGCCTCCTGTGTAGAAGGGACCACAGGCGCTTACCACCATGCCTGGCTGATTTTTGTATTTTTTGTAGAAATGGGGTCTCACTATGTTGCCCAGGTGAATTTCAAACGCCTAAGCAAGTGATTGACCTGCCTCAGCCTTCCAGGGTGCTGGGATTATAGGCGTGAGCCATGATGCTTGGCCAAAAACTTTGGTTTTAAGTACGTTTAGCATAATGAGGGAGTTTGCCTTCTTGTTCATCACTTCTTTGTTTTGAAAACTTTATAACCTAGAAATAGCTGAAAGACTAATATAATGAGCACCCGAATATCCTTCACTTAGATTCGCCAGTTATTGGTATGTCACATTTGCTTTCTGTTTGTCATCTGCATGTGTGCATGTTGTGTGTGTGTGTGTGTATGTGTGTGTGTCTGTGTAGTACTTTATAATAACTACTTGAGTAGTTTATTTATGTTTGTATATACACGGTCATATTTTTTCCTGCACCATTTGGAAATTACATTGCAGACATCCTGACATAATGTGTCTGACATTTTCAGCATGTGTCTCCTGAGTGCTGGGACTTCTCTGCAGTACTGTTAGCTGACCTCAGAAATGTAACCTTGATACAGTAATATTAAAACACAATTCCTATTCACCTGTCTCTAGTATCTTTGTAATGACTTTTTACAACCGTTTTTTGTATTTGTTTTGGTCCAGATTACATATTACAGAGTTGTGTCTCTTTGGTCTCTTTTCATCTGGAAGAGTTCTCTGCCATTTTTTTTTTTATTTTGATCTAGTCGTTTGTCTTTTATGATGACATTTTTTAAGAGTCCAGGCCAGTTGTCTTATGGAATGTCTCACGATCTGAGTTGCTTCTTCTTGATTAGATTTA